TTACTTTCATTAATGATTATTCAATGAAAGTTTGGGCTTTTTCTACTAAAAACTAAAGACCAAGTTCTAAAAGTATTTAAGCTTTTTCAGGCCATGGTTGAAAGAGAAACAGGGCAGAAATTGAAGTGCATCCGATCAGACAATGGTGGTGAATACATTGGGCCGTTTGATGAGTATTGTCGCAGCCAAGTATTCACATCAAAAGACAGTTAAGAAGACTCCTTAACAAAATAGAGTTGCGAGAGATGAACCGCACCATTGTGGAAGAAACAAGGTGTTTGCTTTCACAAGCTAAATTGCCAAGATCCTTTTGGGGTGAGGCATTGAAGACAGCGGTTGACGTGATCAATTTGTCTCCTTCCTATCCTTTGAATGGTGATGTTCCTGAAAGAGTTTGGACTGGAAAAGATATGTGTTATGAGCACTTGAAAGTGTTTGGTTGCCGAGCTTTTGTTCACATTCCAAAAGATGAAAGGTCCAAGCTTGATAGTAAGTCAAGACAATGTATTTTTCTTGGCTATGGGCGTGATGAATTCGGGTATAGATTGTGGGATCCGGTCGACAAGAAAGTCATTCGAAGCCGTGATGTTGTGTTTCTTGAAGACCAAACAATTGAAGACTTTGGCAAAGGTGATCAACCGGAGCCAAAAACTAGTGATCTCATTGACATGGATCCATCTCTTTCATCTTCAGTTGATGATGAAAATGGGGGAGATGTGCAGCTACCTATTGAAGATGTAGAGGATGATGCTAATTCTAATGAAGTTGAGCCAGAAATTAAGAAAGAGCATCCAACTCATGAACCGCCACCACAACTTGAGTTGAGGAAATCTACAAGGGACTGACAACTTTCAAGGAAGTATCCTCCCAATGAATTTGTGTTGATTTCCGATCAAGAGGAGCTTGAGAGCTACCAAGAAGCAATTGAGCATGCAAAGAAAGGTGATTGGAAAAAGGCCATGGACGAGGAGATGAATTCCTTACTTGAAAACCATACTTATGATTTAGTGAAGTTGCCTAAGGGGAGGAAAATTCTGAAAAATAAGTGGGTTTTCAAATTGAAGATTGATGGCAAGAATCTGAGGTACAAGGCATGTCTTGTTGTGAAAGGCTTTGGGCAAAAGAAAGATATTGACTTTGACGAGATTTTCTCACCGGTTGTAAAGATGTCTTCTATTCGGGTTGTACTTGGCATGGCTGCAAGTATGAACCTTGAAGTTGAGCAACTTGATGTGAAGACCGCATTTCTTCATGGTGATCTTGATTGAAGAAAAAATATACATGAAGCAACCGGAAGGTTTTGTAGAGAAAGGGAAAGGGAAATTTGTTTGCAAATTGAAGAAAAGTTCGTATGGTCTCAAGCAAGCCCCGCGGCAATGGTACAAAAAATTTGACTCTTTCATGATGAATAATGGTTTTTCCAAAACCACTTTGGACCATTGTGTGTTTGTGAAAAAATTTCCGAATGGTAAATTTATTATTCTTTTGCTTTATGTTGATGACATGTTAATTGTGGGTCAAGATTCTACCATGATTAACAAGTTGAAATTGGAGTTGAGCAAGTCTTTTGCTATGAAAGATTTGGGACCGGCAAAGTAAATTCTTGGTATGAAAATTGTTCGTGATCGCAAAGAGTGACTGATTTGGTTGTCTCAAGAAAGTTACATTGAGAAAGTTCTTAAGAGATTCAACATGAATAAAGCAAAGCCAGTTGGTTGTCCACTTGCGGGGCACTTCAAGCTTAGTTCGAATCAATGTCCTACAAGTGAGAAAGACAAGGAAGAGGTGCTGAAAGTTCCTTATGCTTCAACAGTTGGTTCTTTGATGTACACCATGGTTTGTACAAGGCCGGATATTGCTCACGCCGTTGGTGTGGTGAGTCATTTTCTCTCTAATCCGGGTAAAGAACATTGGGCAGCGGTAAAATAGATTCTAAGGTATTTTCGAGGGACTTTGAAGGTGTCTTTGTGTTTTGGGGATGGTAAGCCGATACTTGATGGGTTCACGGATTCTGACATAGCTGGTGATATTGATTCTAGGAAATCTACTTCGGGGTATTTGATGACATTTGCAGGGGGAGCTGTGGCATGGCAATCTAAATTACAAAAATGCGTTGCTCTCTCAACTACCGAAACTGAATTTATTGCCATTACAGAAGTTTGCAAAGAAGAGTTATGGTTGAAGAAATTTTTGCAAGAATTGGGTTTTAAGCAAGAAAAGTATGTGCTTTATTGTGATAGTCAAAGTGCTATTCATTTGAGTAAAAATTCTACTTTTCATTCGAGATTGAAACACATTGATTTGAGATACCATTGGATTCGTGATGTGTTAGATTCGAAACTGTTACAACTCGAAAAGGTTCACACGGATGATAATATTTCGGATATGTTGACTAAGACTTTGTCGAGGGACAAATATTTGTAGTGTCGAACTTTGGCGGGTATGGTTGATATCTCCACCTAAGTCGGTAGGGAGAGAATTGTTGGGTATACCTCCTTATTGGAGTGTGGGACCCAATTGGTTTTAAAAAAAGAGTTTAATTTGATTTAGTATTAATTATAATATATTTTTATATATTATATTTAATTTGTGGAGACCCAATCCAATTTGGAAACAACTAAGGTTTGATAAAAAAAATCCTAGATTCACAATATTTTTGGTTGGTTTTGTTTTTGCTCATCCCCGTGTGTGAAGAAAAAAATGGCAGTAGCAGTTTGGTGCCCATTAATCAACTTGGTGTTGTTTTGGTATTCTTGATATGACTTGATCAATCAAGAATTGGTGCTTTGATTTGTGAAGCGGTTTGGTTCAATTTTCGGTTCTGATTTGGTTTGTTATTTTGGGTCTTCTACAACTCTGGTTCTTAAGATTTTGGTTCATCTATTTGGTGAGGTCTTTCCTCGTGTTTATTTGTGATTATTTGGAATTCACCTAAGGGTGGTTTTGTGAGACCATTAGTGTCTCGTTTGTAATTGTTTGGAAACTTATTCGGTTGATAATGGAATCGGATTTCGATCCCATGGGCGTACCTCACATTGAGGGAACCACGTAAAAATTCTTGTGTTGCTTTTGATTTAATTTTTCCGCATTAGTTTTTATTCCCAATGATTGATTTACTTGTGGGGAATCACATATTTTCCCTAACAAGTTTGGGGTCATGGACAAGTTTAACTTTAGTTATTATGGGGTGAAAGAAGAATTAAAAATTTAGTTTGGGGTCTCTACAGTTTAAAAATTTTAGAAAGCAAATATTGAACTATGAAATTTTTAGAATCAAATCGAAACCAAACAACAAGCAATGGTTTAGTTTCGGCTCAGTTCCACAATTTAGGTTAAAAAATTCATCACTATATCTAGACTATCTACTCATATAAGTATTCCAAAACTTTCATAAATATTTTTAAAATTTTTAGAATATTCTCCAAACTAATTTTTATAAAATTTATAAAGAGAAAAAAAAAATCTTCATATTATATAATAATTTCTATAAAAATGAAATTTTCAATAATATAAGAAGTGTAAAAATTATATAAATAATGAAGAAAAAAAAAAACTACACACGGATATTTTTTGTGCTACAGAAAGAAAAATATTTTTTGTACTACAATGAATGAAAGTGTAATTAACATCAAAACGAGATTGAGATTCAAAAAAATCAACGAGAAAAATAATAGGTACTCCTAAAACACTTTATACTAATTTAAAAAATTTTTGAACAACAAAAGAGAACCCTATACTAATTAAAATTAATGAACACATGGAATGGTTAGGTTCAATTTTTTCAATTCTTTTGAGCTTTAATATGTGAACCGAATCATAATCAACAGTTTTTTTAAATTTTTTTGATGCAAGATCAAATAGTTCCCTCAAAAAACTAAGCCAAATCATACGATTTGAACCAATTTTTTTAACACCCATAGTAAGTTTTAAAACTTTGCTTGAATATTTAACAATCTTTAAAATGTGTTCAAATTTAAAATATTTACTTTTTAAACTGATCTCAAACGAGTTTTAATTGAGTAGATCTAACTCAATTAACATTATTTTTAATAGTACATGTAAGTTTATTAAGTCAAATTCAAATCAACGTTAGAAATTAAAAAAATTCCCAATATGATTAAACTTAGCTTATTTCTAAATGTCATTAGTTTTCTTCTTTTCTTTCGTAATGTTTTGTTATCCTTAATAAAATATCACTTTCTTTTTACCAAAAAATAAAAAAATTACCCAAGTTTGATTGCCCCTCTCTATTTATTACCAACTAATTTTTATTGAATTCCTCCAATTTTTTCACATGACTGACTTGCATCTCTAAGCAATATATCTTAATATTTCAATTTTTTTAAAAAAAAATTATTTTGGTGAGCATTGAGAAAAAAACTTAGAAGCCTCCATTTGACAGACACACCGTGACTGGTGGTCGAGACTGCACCAAAGAGGAACTAAACCATGTGAAACCAAGAAGATTCATATGTATATATGTCATATTTTATACATTAGAAGAAAAAGTAAAGAGAGGGATGACAAATTGACCACCTTATAAGAAATTAAACCAAGATGAAAGCTACAACAGATCTAATGGCAGACAGTTCAAAGAAAGAAAATTAAAATATAAACAAAAATATATATATATAAGTGTCTGGTAGAGATAGATCCATTAATAGCCGGCTAACAGAATGAGTCTTATCAACAAAAGTCTATAGAACTTTTCTGCTTTGTCTACCTCTCCCCACACCCCCTCACTGACCTCACTATGACTATAGTAAATAGTTTTAAATATAGATGGGTATGTATTGTATCGGTTGATATGACCAATTGATAATGGTATCAATAAATAGTACAATTTAATTTACATCGATTCAACTGTTATAAACTTAATGATTTAAAAAAAAAAATTAACATTGCATCATCAGTTTGATTCTTAGTATGCATCACTCAATACTTTGGATACTGTTTAAAATCTTGGACTATTCCAATGCCCTTTATTTGTCTTTTGTCACTCCCTCCCTCTCGTAACCTCTCTCCTTTATAACTCCCCGAACTTCTCTCTCAATCTCAAGTTTCAATTTCAGTTTAAGTCCTTAATATTTTGCAATGGAATCCGGTCATCATGAAGACTCGGTGAACTCATCAAGTGAAGAAGAAGAAGAAGATGAAGAAGAAGAAGAAGAAGATCAACCGGAGGAAGAAAACAATGATGTGGGCATGGGTCGGTCCTATGATTGTATATTTTGCAGGCGAGGATTCAATACAGCGCAGGCCTTAGGCGGGCACATGAATATTCATAGGAAAGACAAAGCCAAGAACAATAGGTCTACTATGATTAATTCAAATAAGCAAGAAGAGTTTTATATCAATCCCAGACTCGACCAAGAAATTCCAAGCTACCCACCGCGTTATGAATATTTTGCGACTCAGGAGGCTCAGGTACGCAATTATTGTTTTAAGAGCTTCTTGGAATTTTGCCAAAGGGCTATGAATACAGGTACGCAATTATCTGTAAATTATTGTGTCACTGCAATAATCTACTGATATTACATGGATACGATTCATATAGAATTTTGATGTAAAAAAGCCTTACACACACAGGTTAGTTATCAAACATATTTTCCAGCTTCAACATCAAGTGCAAGACCCTCATATACACATCAAAGCAATGAATTTTGTGGTTATCAAATCCCACAGCTGTTGAGTCCATTCGGAGATCATGATTGGAGGATGGGTTTAAGCTTGCAATTTGGTCTAGCACATGGAGAAGATGAAGAGAAGAAGAGCGAGCGGTGGAAGTGAAGAAGACGAATTGGATTTGGAGCTTCGGCTTGGCCACAATCCATAGTGCTAAATAATGGAGACAATTAATACATAGGCATATAACTTTATGTATGATAAGTTTTCGCCTTTTTGTACATGCAGTAGGCCTATCTTACAAACTTTTCTTACGCAACGCAAATTAAAATGCCATTTGACACTCTTAACAAGATGGCACTTCGCGTGTATAAGCCTATATTTATGGCATCTTTATTTGCAAGGCATGGGGGATGAAGGAAGAAGTGTTTGTTGGTTGGAATTTCATCAAAGGAAGATGTATCAACCCGTGTTTCATCTCCTTCAAGAACCAGTTTTCTGAGGTAGTTAAGCTGTTCCATGACTTCTGTCTTAATATATAGGTAGCTGTATTTTTATTAGGGTTACAAATAATGCTCTTGTATAATGTATTTCAATTCCCTGCAATCTAGTAATTATTTAGTTGTGCAAGTACTTTTTATGTTTGATCAAAATAATTTTGTTTACCACAGTATTGTTTTCCTTCTTAGAAATTGAATTTCTAGTAAAGTAGGCTCATCTTCTGTACTAGAAGTTAGTTCTAAAAATCTTTTGTTTAAACCCTAGCAGTTAGCAAAAAAAAAAAAAAAATGGGGGAAACAAAAAAAATGAAAAAAAAAATGGAGGAAACAAAGAAAATGAAAACAAATTTAAAGAAGGCATTGTGGGTTGCTTTTGATCTGAAAAACATCAATGTTGTTCTAGCTTTTGAGTACCCCGACCTGGGCATCTCTCTCAGCTTCACATACAACTGCTGAAGAATAAACTTGTGTCTTAATATTGTTATGTATAATGACATGTTAAGAGGCTTTAATGGTATGATAAAATTAGAGCAGCGTTTTGTTCTGGGTTAAATCAAAGATTGAGCCTAACCCTGTTTTCAATAAATGATTTTATCAATAGAACTGAAGGTGTAAGAAGTCTGGAAACTATGAAAAAGTTAGTCAATGAATTCTGAGAATGGGTGTATTGCGGAATAGCAGCGGGAGTTTGTTACAGCTAGTTGGTTAAGTTTTTCTTTTTTGTCTGTTGGTTAATTGGCAATGTTTATATTTCCTCTATCATGTGCTTGTATTCTTTTATCAATGGAAATGAAATTCCTTTTGCCAACCAAAATAAAAAATGCCTCAAGTTGTTACAAAAAGTAGGGGTGAGTAGCGGCTATTCTGATCTGTCCAAATCAATCGAACCAAACCGATCTGCTGTATTTTAGACGAATGCGTGATGATGAGCAGACAGTTGCGGATTGGTTTTTTTCAATCCGCCTAGTTTTGGACAGATGGCAGATTTGAAATTTTTTTGACCGTAACTGAACCGCCAAACAGTGAGCACACCTAGTAATTTGTAAGATTTTGTGTTTTCAATTTGTTTAGATATTCTGTTTATATTTTCAATTGAAAAAGAATTTAGATATTCTGTTGTGCTTTTAATTTATTTTTAATTTAAAAATCCTTTTATCAAATGACAATTGTTAATATTTGTTATTTTTGTGTGAAAAATATAAGGCTTAATTTTTTTATTTTTAAAAAGATCAAATTAAATAGTTTTTAAATAAAAAAGTAACGAAATAGTTTGATAATATAAAGTTTTTGTATACGTATTTATTATTGGTATTTGACAATTTACTTAATAATCTTTTGGTTATGTTGAGTTGAATTGCTATAAAAAAAATGTCGACAAGTTGTCATATTATGTTTAAAATTTATAAAAGTTTAAATCGCTAAACCGATTCGCATCAATCCGCTGAATCCGCATCCGTCAATCTGGCAATCCACATCCGTTAATCTGGCGAACGGATGCGAATTGATTTTTTCCAATCCACTAATCCGGCGAATGGATGACGAATTGAAAATTTTTCGGCCATGAACACCCCTAACAAAAAAGTAGTGGAGTAAGTGGCTCTTAATATATTGTGATGAATGATCTTAATGTTAGAACGTCAAGAGTTGTTTTAGAACTATTATATATGTAGCCATGTAATCTACGTATTGGAAGAATGAGAGTTTGTAATTCGTAATGAGAATAATATATGAGTGAAAAACTCATCTCTACTTCTCGTTTGAGCTATCATCACAAACACATGGCAACTGTTGATCTTATAAATGTCAAATGTGGTGATTGTTCATGCATTTATTTGGTGGCATTTAAAGGAAATAGGAGTCAATATATTGTGTTTCTAGTGATTTAATCTAGCAGAAACTATTTACTGCTCAGATCACAGTATTGATAGATTCTTTATTCATGGAGTGATTTTATACTATATATTGGTTCAAAAGTATGAAAAAGATTCTAGAGATTTTACACTATAAGAAGTAAGGATTATGGTGGATTCTGAAGCAGGTTTATCCTCTAATAAATCTTTATTTTTCATTATGAAATCATCATCTTGTCAAAGCCAATGCCTCTGCACTCGTCTCTCCTTTTTTATGTGTAACCTTTGTATTTATATATTATGTTCATCAATAAAGATTTATTTTTGTTGATAAAAATTTAAAAAGATTAAAAAAATTGTGAACAACCTAGAACTCAGACAACAAAATTGATTCACATGCAACTCAATGCTTGTAACAATGATGCTTAGGTTTTTTTTTCCCTTTTTTCTCCTTGTGCAATAAGTATGTTTTGTCAAGCAATTAGGAATTATAGATAAGTTATACTAAATTCTAAGGGGTTGGCCTAGTGAATGCAGTTTGACACCTAGGGTATGCTTCATTTAGATCTCAAATTCAACTCTTATTAAGTGCTATCAACGTCTTGGAACCACGTCTGCGGGTTTTGCCCATCTGATCCATGTAAAGGGGGTACTTTGCGTGGGTCTCGAAGCTCTGCCTAATATTTGTCTGATCCATGCAAAGGAAGTATTTTGCGTGAGTTCCAGAATTAGTCGAGGTGAGCATAAGCTGGTCCGGATACTCAATCATACAAAAAATAAAATAAAATAAAATAAGCTAAGCTGTAAATAAATAAGAAAAAAGATAAGCTATAGTAGGTTGTTAGACACGGTATTTGTTCAATAATTAGTAGATATGCAAAGGTGAATTTTGAAGAAAATCAGAGAAAAATATCTTTTTCTTATTCAATACTTCAACCATTATACAGAGAACTAGTATTTATACAGAATGAATACACTTAACCTGACCATAACTGTTTAACTAAACTATAGTTAAACTCTAACAAACTAACCACCTAGCTAACAAACTAACTACCTAGCTTTAACAATACACATGCCTTCGGTAATCTCGGATTACTGGCCATCACGACACCAAACTACTAGGGGCGGTTTGGGGGCGTGACAAACTACCCAGCTTTAACAATACACATGTGATTCTGAAGCTTGTGCTTGGAGACTACTGGCTGCTGCTGTAAGCTCTGAGCAGGATTTGATCTGTTAGCTGCGGCTTGAGCTTTGAGCTACTGCTTATCATGCTCCCTCAAACTCATAGGATGGGGAAGAACTAAGAGTTTGCGTTGAAGATATTGAAACCGAGCCACAGACAAAGGTTTAGTGAAAATATCGGCGACTTGATCAGTGGTAGGAATGTGACAAATGTGAAGCTTCTTGGCGGCAATTCGTTCTCGAACAAAATGATAGTCAACCTCAATATGCTTAGTTCTAGCATGAAACACAGGATTGTGAGACATAGCAATAGCAGATAAGTTGTCACACCACAAGGTAGGAACAGGTACAGGACAGTGCAGTTCCGCCAACAACATACCAAGCCAACTAAGTTCAGCGGAGGTCTGGGCTAAAGCTCTATATTCAGCTTCGGAGGAAGACCTAGACACGGTTGGTTGCTTCTTGGCAGACCATGAAATTAAGTTGGGACCAAGGTATACATAATACCCAATAGTGGATCTTCGATCCAGCACATTACCAGCCCAGTCTGAGTCAGAGTAAGCATTAAGAATGAGAGGACCACTAGTGAAATGAAGGCCATGACCTAATGTGCCTTTAAGATAGCGGAGTAACCGTTTGACAGCGGCAAAATGACTATTCAAAGGGGCTTGCATGAATTGGCAGGCATAATTAACCACAAAGGCAAGATCTGGTCTTGTAATGGTGAGGTACTGAAGAGCTCCTACTAAACTGCGATATAGAGATGGCTGATTAAAGGGTAAATCAACATCAGAAGAAAGGCCAGGGGTTTTGGTAGCCATGGGAGAGGAGTAAGACTTGCAACCGCTCATGCCTGCTTTAACCAGAATTTCCAAAGCATACTTTTGTTGAGACAGAACATACCCACTAGAGGTTTTGGTGACAGAGATGCCCAAAAAATAATTAATAAAGCCCAACTCTTTCATAGAAAATGTAACATGCATTTGTTGAATGAGAGAAGCAATATAAAGAGGGTCACTGCCAGTAAGCAAGATATCATCAACATATATGAGGAGAATGGTAATAGAAGTAGGGGTCTTGAGAACAAACAAAGAGGAGTCACATTGACTAGGAACAAAATTCTGAGAGAGAAGAAAAGTTGAGAAAGTAGAGAACCAAGCTCGAGGGGCTTGTTTTAAACCATAAAGAGCTTTGTTTAACTTGCAAACTAGATGAGATTGAGAAGCATTAACAAACCCCTGTGGTTGGACCATGTAGACCTCTTCATCAAGTACTCCATGAAGGAAAGCATTGGAAATGTCAAGTTGTTTGATTTGCCAATCAAAATGTAAAGCAAGACACAAAAGAATTCTGATGGTTGGTTGTTTAGCCACAGGGCTAAAAGTCTCATGATAATCCACTCCCTCAGTTTGAAGAAAACCTTTGGCAACAAGCCTAGCTTTATATCGAGCGATGGTGCCATCAGAATTCTTTTTCAGTCGATAAACCCATTTACAGCCAATGGCATTTTTGCCAGGTGGTAAAGAAACTAATGACCAAGTACCTTGCTTGTGAAGAGCTGCATATTCATCAAGCATGGCAGCCCGCCAAGCAGAGGAAGAAGCAGCTTCTGAATAGGTTTGAGGTTCAAGAGAAACAGTGGAAGTGAGAAGAGAAACAGAATTAGAAGAGAAAGGAAGTCGGCTAGATTTAGACCTAGTAATCATGGGATGAGCAGTTGATGGAACATAGGGAAGATTGATAGAAATTGAAGAGATAGGAATGGGAAGAGAATAATCATTAGTCAGATGATCAGTAGGCTGCTGGCAAGGAGAAGCTGCAGGAGTATGAGCTGCAGAAGAAGG